GAATGGCTTGTTGAGAAAGGGAAAAAGTATAGGACAAAAACTGAATAGATACAAGAAGTTGTCATAAAAGTTGATGAAAGATGAATGTTGGGTAAAGAATTTTACGTGTGACCACGTTGGTTAAGATTTGAGGAGAATTATTTGTTTACAAGGTTTTTTAATTGAGTATTAATATCAACAGTTCCCTGATTCAAAAGGGGAAGTTTCTCTTTTCTGTTAACACAATACTTTTTTTTCTCTCTCCTTTAGATTATTGCTCTGCTCTTAATAAATTATTGAAGTTGTTTTAACCTCTTCAGTAACTGGCCTAGAAAACAATGATTTTGTGTTTGATCAAGACAATTTCCTGTGCTTCATGTTGTCTTTATCAGGTTTTGACTACTTAAAAAATATAAGCCTTCTCTCTTAAAAGGGCTGAGTTGTTTCCTATAAATACGTGACTTTCTGTATGTGCCTTTTATATCATTGAAGTATCATTCTAGCTAAATGAATAAGTGCTGTTTCACAGCAATCCGTGATCCTATTAAATCAGGTATTTTAATCTTTGACATTGTTGGCAACTTCCCAAAATAAAATTTAAAATTAAGACCTTTTTTGATTTTAAACTAAACTAACTAGCATCATTGCAAGGGACCACACCAACATCTCACTACCCACACGGCAGCAGAAACTTCAGAGGCTTGAGCCTTGGGTCCACATTTCTCAAGTCAGAAGGAGCCCTCCATATTTTTGAGAATGTTCACCTTTAAGAGATATCAATGTAAAACCAATCAGGGATATTTCTTCCCAGAAGTAGGTAATATCCTAGATAAGGATATCCTAGGTAAATATTTCTAGTAATAGGATCGTGGATCAAGAGTTCTCTGTCCTTTTCCTTGTTTCCTGTGCCATTTTCTGTTTTTGTGTGACAAAATAATGCTATGGTTAGGATTTAGCAGTTGACAGCTTCTATCAGAAACCTAACAGAATGCTGGATATGGCACTTTAAACCTAATTCTCTACCTGATATTAGAGATCTTTCTGTTCACTCTATAGCAAAGTTTACTAATATTCCAAGTGCAACTGCCTGCTCAAATTCTCCATTTAATTTTTTTTATAAGGTTAGGGTTTTAGATCCACAAATTTAGACTCCTTGTTTAACAGTAGACAAAACCCACTAAGTTTGGTTAATTTTGAAGTTAAATTATATAAAAATATGAATAAAAAAGTGAAGGGAAAGATAATTTGACTGTAGACTAACCTTAATCTTCCACATACCCCTAATTCTCTGTCAATTGAATCAAATTATTTAATAATTTAATGTGAATCCTTGGTTCATAGTACTAAGGCTTCCCTAGTGTGGACCCCTAATGCACCATACATCCCACAATAAATAGTCTGTTGTGTTGCTTCAGGATATAGTTCATCTGTGGAGAATATAGTCAACAATCCAGCTCAGGAGCAACTCTATATTTCAGTAAGCAGAAAATAAGAGACTCATGTGATTCAGGGATTTTTAACAGCACCATAAACAATCAGAAACACTATAAACAATCAGAAACTGAACATTGGTCTACACCTCTTAATTTGTACTATAGAGTGGTGTAATTTTTCAGCAGGTGTAAGTCACTCTAAATAGATAACATTGAAAAATATTTCTTTTTTGGTTTGGTATAAAGGTAAATGAGATGATAATTATAAGTCTGTCTCAAAAATTAATTACTATAGCTGACTCTATTCTAAAGGCTATAATTTCCAGAAAACATCTCTAAACTGCCTTACTAAAATAAAATTTTTTTTCAATATCATCTTTGGACTCTCTGTTGGTTGAATGGTGGAGTATATGTGATAGCTAACACTTCCTTCTGTACATAGATAGATATGTATGGTATTGCATTTATCTTGTAAATGTTAGTTACAATAAAGTAATACTTAATCTACTTCATTAAAACAAGTAGATTCCTCTTCTGCCTAATTCTTTGATTTTTTAGTGTTGGTCTCTTGATAGTCAACAAACAGTCTCTGGAGTGTACTTTATCCTCTTTCATGAAGTCATCTGCTGTGTGTTGAAGAGTCTCACTGTAATTAGAAGAGCAAGAACTTAACATTATTTAATTAACTGACATCATGACTTGTGAATTCCATACTGAGATCAGATAAATTCATTGATGGTTACAGAGAGCAGTGTTAATGCCCAAGATATTGGCCATTGTTAATCAAGACAAAATCTTGCTCTGTTGCCAGGCTAGAGTGTAGTGGACTGATCTCGTCTCACTGCGACCTCTGCCTCCCAAGTTCAAGCCATTCTCCTGCCTCTGCCTCTGGAGTAGCTGGGACTAGAGGCATGTGCCACCATGCCCAGCAAATTTTTTTGTATTTTTGGTAGAAATGGGGTTTCACTATGTTGGCAAGGATGGTCTCAATCTCTCAACCTCGTGATACACCTACCTTGGCCTCCCAAAGTGCTGGGTCCCAATATTGGACAATTTCTTAAGACTGAGAGGTTGATCAAAAGAGGCGAATTATTAATTCAAATAAATCAGAAGGTCATTGCCATGAGGCTAACTCTGTGCTGCAGACATCTAGTCCATATGTACCACATATAAACAAATCTAATTTAGGAGTATTTTTTTTAGTTTTAATCAAACAGCCAGGATTCAGCCAATCACAGTCAACCTTCAAACTATCACAGGTGACCAACCAATCATACCATGTTCACAAAAGGCAAGAGCCTCATCCAACCATGTCCAAATAAGGCAAATGCCAATGCACAGGCAATCAGATGGTTTCTCCATTTTGCCTCCCTAGTCATCCCATACAATTGCACCAATAGTGCTCTGGGAGGATTTCGCAACCTCTTTTATTTATAAATATTAATTGATTTGTGAACTGTTCTTTACTCAAGTAAATTTAGTTACATTAGTTTGTCTAAATCATTTATTTAAACAGCATTAAATATTAGGTTAGAGATGGAAGAAGAAAGTCTCAGGGAATAGATAAACTCAGTAGAACTTGTCTAGTGTGAAGAATAGAAAGAAAAGGAATGAAGAAAAATGAGAAATGTAAAACGAATAGACAGAGCTTCATTAACTTATGGAAAATACAAAGTACTTAATATACATATTATGGTGTCCAAAATAAATAAATAGTTGTCAAAGTTTTAGTAAATTTGTAGAAGATATCAACTTAATGATCAAAGAGATTGAGCAAACTACAAGCAAGTTAAATACCAAAAAGTCCTACCTAGATCCATAATAGCCAAAATAATGAAAACTATTTATAAGAAGAAATCGTGATTAAAGGACACACACACACAGAAGAATAATAATGGCTAACTTCATATTAGAATCGAAGACCATTAGAATATAGTGGAATGACATCTTTAAAGTGTTGAAATAAATAGAAACATCAAAAATGGCCAGCCCGGATTTTTTTACTTAGAGAAAGTATACACTAAGAAGGGGGTAAAATTAAGATATCATCAGAAAAAAGCTAAATAAGTTTGCTGCCAGCAGCATGAACTATAATAACAAAAAAGTTTTATTTTTTACACTCTTATGCAATGACAGCGAATTAAAATTTGAGCTAAAAAAAAGGATAAAAAAATACTGTCTATTAAAAATATATGAGTAAATATAAAACTCTATTTTTTTCTTTTCTTTATTCTATTATCAGAAGAATGACCACTTCAAGCAAAAAAAATAAATCTCATTTTAAGGTGGGATTTAAAATTTTGTAGAAGTAAAATATATGTCAAAATCAACACAAAGAAAAGTTCAGATAGACTTATACACTTGCAATAGGTAAGTACACTTGTGATATATAAAGCATTAAGTGTGAAGAATGAAGTGGCAAAATATGAATTATAAATTTTCCATGATAATTTAAAATGTTTATTTTCATCCTTAGTGTAAGAATTAAAGAAAGAGGAAAGAAACATGAAATGTGGCTCAACAGCTAAAGGAAAGTTTACTTTAGATAAAACCTGAGAGGGGCTCTTGGCTGATTTCAGTCAGGAGCACTTTCTCTTCCAGACTAAGATTATATATTGGTTTTGGGGTGAAAGGGCTTATCACAAGCTCAGAATGATTCTATGTGAGGGAAAAGTTTTGTGGCAGGGATGGAATGTCTCTGGGAGAAGGGAAGTTTATATCATGGCAGACATCTTTCCAGCTGGAGTGGGTTTATCTCAAGGATGGTGGCATCTTCTTAGGTGGAGGGGTGTTGTCTCAGGGCTAGCATGTCTCTGGTCAGGGGGGAGTTTGGAATGTTTCTGGCTGGAGATGTTATTTTTGGTTTAAGGTAATGCTGACCTTAGCCATTAGCCTGGCACCCTTTGATTTAGGTGGTTTTTTTATTAAGGTGCACTTTAGAACGGGGGCTTATCCAAGATGGTGATGCTCCTGCTTCTTCACTTAGAACACTGTAAAAAATTATCAAAAGAACTAAAATAGGTGCATTAAAAAGATAATAAATAAAACAAATGAAATATTAATAAAAATCTAATTCCAAAAATGTTGGACAAGTGGAGGCAAGCAAAGGTAGAATAGAAGAAAAGAGAAGTTAAGCAGATAATACATTTTAAGTTAGTGCAAAAGTAATTGATGTTTTTGTCATGAAAGTAATGGCAAAACTACAATTACTTTTGCACTAGCCTAATACCAAGTTGGAGGACATATACCACTATGCAATACATCAGCTTTGCATCCAACAACTGTCAATGCACATCCCTTTTGAATATTAAAAAAAATGTATCCATTTAGGCCATACTACTGGACACAAAACAAGTTTCAATAAATTTTAGCAGAATGAAATCACATAGGGTATGTTCTCCGACAGTAATGGAATTAAATTAGAAATCAATAGCAATAAAATATATCTTAAAATCCCCAAATATGTGGTAATTAAGTACATACACACCTAATAAACCATACTTAATTTATTAATTTATTTCACAAGGAAATTAAAAAATTGAAAGCTGACTGATGACATACATTGATTTTATCAAAATTAGTGTCTAAAATAAGGGAAAATACATACTTGTAAACATTTATATGAGAAAATAAGAAAGTCTCATATCAAAAATCTAAACTACCAGTTTAAAAAAATGATAAAAGGAGATACAGACAAATGCCATGAAAGTAAAACTAAGAAAGTAACAGCAGAAACTACCAAAATAGAAAATAAATCAGTAATTAAAGAACAACAAAAAACAGTCAGTTATTTGATAGTGTAACTAAATTGATAATCCTACTAGCAGACTGATGCCCCCCAAAAATTTGAGAAAACACAAATTGTTTATTTCAGGATTAGAAAAGAAGATATTTTTAAAAGATAGTAGAGACATTAAAAAGACACTAAGAAAATACTATAAACAATTAATTTGTCAATACAAATGAAATGGACAAATTCCTTGAAAGACACAAAACACCAAAATAGACACAAGCAGACCACTTGGATAGCTCCTTATCTATTAAATAAATTAAAATCACAATCAAAACTTTCCACAAAGGAATCTCTAGATCCCAGTGATTTCACTTACAAATTTTAACACATACGTAAGAGGAAATGATCATTATCTTACTCAAACATTTAGAAAAATACAGGAAGGAGCAACATTTCCTACCTTGTTTTATAAACACACTATTAAAACCTGATCAAGGCATTAGAAAAAGTTAAGTTATAGAACAAATATTTCTTCTAAATGTGCATAAGACTATTTCATGTTTCAGAAATACTTCAACTAAGCAAATCCACTGATAGAAAAAAATAATACAATTAATTTTATGTAAACTCAGGAATGCAAGGTAAACACAATTAAACACCACATTAACAGAATAAAGGAGTGGCCACAGGATTAATCAATAGATGCTGAAACTACTTTTCACATTATTTAGTATCAACTAATAACAAAGTTTCTAAGCAAAAATAATAGAAGGAAACATTCAAATGGATAAAATACATCAATGAAGAGTCTATAACTATCTTTATACAACCTGGTAATATATTAAATAGATGGGAAACAAAGCATAGATATCTGCTCAATACTTTCATTCCACATTGTATTATCAGTGTAGCCAGTGTAATAAAAAACAAAAATAAAACTCACAGATATTTCTTACTTGACCTATTAAATGTATTAAATATTAGGGAATGTAAGAAACAAATTTAAAAACTCTGCTAAAACGAAGACAAAATAGCAAGGTTGTAGAAAATAAGGTTCATATTTAAACTTAATCATTACATTAAGTTTAAATTATCAGGCTAATATATTCCAGCAACAAACAGATACAGATTGGAAAATGAGATGTAAGTTTTTGGGCCTTTGCATCCTGCATTTTGATTGTTTCCTGAGTTCTAGCTGCACTCTTTTCCCTGAATGCTGAGAGATGCCCTTATATATTTGTAGTAAATTCTTTCTAATGATTAATTAATTTGATGTTGTATCAAATTAGGTGTTGTTTGTTGTATTAGCCTCCATGCTAATGTCAATGCTACTGGATGAAGACCAACTTATGAAACATGGCATAGAAAAATAAATGCAGCTCATTTTTCTCCAACATGAGATTTTTAGCTAAGATACTGAAGACATACTTACAGAGTCATCATCATCAATGATGTTACTAAAACTCATCATCAAAATGCAAGTACATTTGAGCCAAAGTTTTTGACTTATGGTTTATTAGAAGGTGAAGATATTGCCATGGTCATGACCATACTTCATCTCAGGACATTCTTCAAGGCCTGCTTCACATCTTTATTCCGCAGACTGTAGATCAATGGATTAAGCACCGGACTGACAAAGGTGTAGAAGACAGCTATTATTTTAGATTCCTCAACAGTCTCATCTGTTGGTGGTCTTACATACATGCAAAACAGAGTCCCATAAAACAGGGTGACAGCCATCATATGGGAACCACAGGTGGAGAATGCCTTGTGCCTTCCCTCTGCTGATTTGATCCGGAGGACAGTGGCAATAATGAAGGTATAGGACATCAGAATGATGGTGAGGGAGCTGGAGAGGTTCAAGCCAGCTGAGATCAGCATCGCGTGCTTTTTGACATAAGTATCAGAGCAAGAAAGCTTAATGAGTGGTGGGTCAGCACAGTAGAAGTGGTTGATGACATTGGAATTACAGAAGCTCAGGCGGAAGGTCAAGGTAGCCTGGAACAGTCCATCTGAGAAGCCATAGACATAGGGAAATGAGGCCAAGCAGATGCAGACTCGCCTGGACATTTTCACACTGTAGTGCAGAGGGTCACATATGGCCACGTAGCGGTCATAGGCCATTGCTGCCAGCATGTAAAACTCAGTGAGGAGAAGGGCAATGAAAATGTAGCACTGTGTAAAGCAGCCAGCAAAGGAAATGGTCTTCTCAGATATGATATTAGCCAGCATCTGCGGGGTTGCATTTGATGTATAGCACAAATCCACAAAGGCTAAGTTAGTGAGGAAGAAGTACATGGGTGTGTGAAGGCGAGAGTCCAGTCTGATTAACATTATCATGCCCAGGTTGCCTAGGACAGTGATGAGGTAAACAACCAGAAACAACACGAAGAGCAGAGGCTGGAGTTCTGACCGATCTGTGAGTCCAAGTAAAATAAATTCTGTGATTGCACTGCCATTTACGTTGGACATTTCCTGGCAGTTTGCTCTTGGAACTAAAGACATAAAACATATATAAACAAGTACACATACCATGTTAACATTCATTTGAATTCGTTTTTCTCCACATCTTCATATTTCATCCAAAGTTATCTATTTCTGGGTACTACCATAAAGTTTTGTTTTGGTAATTTTGTTAGACTTACCATAATTTTGTAAGTCTGCAATGCCATTATGTCATCTGCCTAAGAATTAAGTTACTAATATATTCTTTCTCTACATCTCTAGATAAATCTATACCTACACCTCTATCTGTCTGTCTGTCTATCTATCTATCTGACTGAGCTACATCTCTTCTATCTTCCTGCATTTTTTTAAACCTAATTCTACTCATGCTACATGACCCACGTTAACAGCCACTTTTTTTGAAGCATTTTTCTTTCGTTTCTCCTAATATCTGTCACTTAATTATCTCTTACTTCTTTGTTTCCAGAGTATTTTATATTTCTGTAATTTATTCTTTAGCCCCCATTATATCATTTTAAAGCATATACTTTCTCCTCACATAATGGTGTTGAGAGCAGGGACAAAGTGGAGTTCAATTTTTTAATTATACTGCTCAACACATATTTTTATACTGAGCTTATTTAAATGCAAAAAGGAGAGTATATAAGAATGAATGACTTGCAATTTTTACTCATATTTATCTCCATGTAGCCTTTCATTTTACCATGTTCTCAGGAGAATTAAGTGATTATTGCAACTTAGTGTAGAAGCAATATCTTGGGAAGCTTGCTAATTTTTGCAGACATTCTTGTGTGGGGCACTGGAATCTTCATCTCTAACAAATATCTGTAAACAAATAACAAATAACAAAAGCGTTCCCAGATCACAGCTCAAAATGTACAGTCATAATGACCCAATAAACATCTGCCAAATAAATGAACAAAGAACTGTGAAATAAAATAAATTCTCATGTAGTATCTTGAGGATGTTTAGAGCAATGACTTAATGTGCTTAGAAAGAAAAGATTTACTATTCCACAGTTAGCATTTTATCTTCTAATTACAACTTGTATCTAACAAGAAGTATTACAAATCCCTTCGGCTTTTTACCTCTTTTCACATCAGAATCTTTGCTAATTCTCATGTTTCTTTCTCATTTTCCTTTCCCTCAAGATGTTTTTATTTTTTGCCCATTCTTTCATACTTGAAATTTTTATTGTAGGCTTCCCAGTTCTCGTCTCATTTCAAAATGAGTCTCCTCATTTATTTTATTGTAAGTTTTAGAAGGTCTATAAGCAAAATTCTGTGCTGTTGTTACTATTGAGAAAAGCAATGTACAAAAGGTTATATAATTGAACCAAGGTCACACTGCTAGTGTGTACAATCCGAGAATCTGAGGTAAGAACTCAAAATTATGTGTTTTTTTTTTTTCCATTTTAAGTATCATTTAATGCTGCTTTGCTATAAAGGTGGGAATTTGGTCCCTTATACCTGATCATCATCCCACACAAAATTTATCCTAATATGTTAATATTATTATTTTTTTTTTAATTTTTTATTGGATTATAGGTTTTGGGGTACATGAGCAGAGCATGCAAGACAGTTGCGTAGGTACACACATGGCAGTGTGCTTTGCTTTTCTTCTCCCCTTCACCCACATTTGGCATTTCTCCCCAGGCTATCCCTCCCCACCTCCCCCTCCCACTGGCCCTCCCCTTTATGTGTTTTAAGAACTTCCTTTATTAGTTGCTGTTGCAATACATATCACCTTTCTAAAGCCAAACTTTTTAATAAAATTCCATATATAGACCTGGAAGGCCTTGAGATTTATGATGATAAGGAGTTGCTGGTGACACAGAGAGCCATGGCATTCTTGCATAGTGCACCATGATAAATAGGGTTATGTTCGACACATTCTCTTTACATTTAGGGATGTTCTATTATGTGATTGAGTTGTGTCCTTGAGTATGTACCTAAGGAGCAATGACATATCTTGAGGTTAGGAGCTGGTTAGAAGCCCTTGATTACAGAGTTGTTTCAGTAATTTAAAACCTTTGTAACTGAATGAATCACTTTATTTTCCCATGTGTAAATGGAAATAATAATATTTATCTTTCCTCTTATTATGTCATTTTGGGCATCAAACTAGATATTTATAAAACAAGTATTTACTGATACTCAACATTTTGTGTGATTGGGCACTATAAATGCAGGGGTGAACAAACCTTTCAAAAATTTCTGCTTTTCTTGGTTTTCACATTCTAGTGGACAGAGACAGCTATGATGTCAAGTAAATAAATAACGTTCCAAATAACCATTGTGGAGAAAAATAAAGAAAATATAGTTTATTCATAACAGAAATTGAAACACCGCATATTCTCACTCATAGGCGGATGATGAAAAATGAGAACACATGGACACAGAAAGGGGAGTACTAAACACTGGGGTCTATAGGGGGGAAAAGGGGAGGGCCAGTGGGAGGAGGAGATGGGGAGGGATAGCCTGGGGAGAAATGCCAAACGTGGGTGAAGGGGAAAAGGAAAGCAAAGCACACTGCCATGTGTGTACCTACGCAACTGTCTTGCATGCTCTGCTCATGTACCCCAAAACCTAAAATCCAATAAAAAATTTAAAAAAATATATATAGTTTAGGGGAAAGGAAGGTCAAAGGAAGATCTCACTGAAAAAGTAACATTTGGCTAGGCACGGTGGCTCACGCCTGTAATCCCAACATTTTGGGAGGCTGAGGCAGGTGGATCACCTGAGGTCAGGAGTTCAAGACCAGCCTGGCCATCATGGTGAAACCCCATCTCTACTAAAAATACAAAAATCAGTTGGGTGTGGTGGAGTACCCACCACACCAGAGTACAGTGTCAGTGATTACAACAAAGAAAAATGAGAGAAAAAAATATTAGGATGTGGGACTTTCAGATTTAAGAACCCATAACAGGAAATTGTACTAGAGGACTTCATTTGCAGAATAACTTCTTTGTTGCATGTGGTTTAATAGCTGCCTGTGAAATCTAAAACATTTTTGACCCTGAAGCTCAGTGGCTTTTGTAGGATCCAGAAATATATGATTGAAGTAGAGAATAAGGGCTCCTAAGTGGAGAGAGGTAAAAAGACTATAGATAGGATGTGTGTACAAAGAAAGAAAACCACAGTAGGTCTGCCCCTGTGTCAGGACGGAATAAAAGGTGAACACCTCTTGAATTAGGAACACCTGGGCTGGCTAGGTCAGCATGTTGGGAAGGCTCTGCTGATAGAGGAAGAACCAGAAGAGGAGTAGATCAAGGACAGGAAAAATTTACAATTTGTAAAACCTAGAACTGGGATCTCAGCTACACAATACACTGAATCCAATATTGATACAGGAATGGGATGTGGAAGTGATGTGGGGTCCCTGGTGAGGCCTCCACTTATAGGCCTCGGCCCATGAACCTAAGTGAGAACAGGCACTCCTGTTTTCACACCCAAATGTTGTGTTTTCCAATACCAGTCTGGCCTGCCATGGTCCCCACCCTGCGCCCATAAAAACCTGAGACCTTAGTGGGCGTGGACACAATTGGCTGCATTTTGAGAGGAGCAGAGTAGCACAGCAGCAGATGAAAGCAGATGCAAGCAGATGTCAGCAGACCAATGACCATGAAATAATGCAGACACTGAAGGGAGTTCGGCTGGGGACAGTCAGAGGAGCATAGGCAGTTGAGCAGTCCAACTCCAGGGGAAGACTACTTTCCCACTCCATCCCCTTTCTGACTCCCCCTCCATTTTACTGAGAGTCACCTCCACCACTCAATAAAACCTTGCATTCACCCTCCAAGTCCGCATGTGATTTCATTTTTCCAGTATGCTGGGCAGGAACGTGGGATATAGAAAGACTTCTGCCCTTGCAATAATGCAGAGGGTCTAACTGAGCTGATTGACATAAACCACACCCCTGTCACACATCCTGCAAAGGGGATAAGGAAACTCTCCTGTTTCAGTATGAAATAAAAATATAAGAATTGTTGTACAAAATATTATTAAAAATTTCAGGACCATGAAAGCAAAGCATTAAACAAAGCTTGGGAGGTCCTTCTGAGCACAGGGCCTTGTGATTGGACTGCATGACCATGACCCCACCGTCCCTGGAACACGCAAGCTATAAAAACGGACACTGAGAATATAGAAGGAGAAGGAAATTGCCCACCTCTCAACAGTTAAAAAATAGAAGATGCCCTAAAGGAAGGCTTTTATTCCCATTGAGGATGCACTAGATTGTAACCAATTTCAAAAAGCTAATTGTCTAGATAAATTTTGTAGGCTATTCAATCACAAATGAGTAAGAAAAGACTTTTTTTAAGAAAAAGAAAAGAAACCAGTCAAGAAAACTGCAAGAATTCATGTTAAGAAAGATTATTAAGCTTCTTAGTTTGTTTCTTGGTTTGTTTGTTTGTTCAAATGAACTCATGATAATTCAAGATAAATACAGATACTGAAAATCTGACCACCAAATGTGAAAGTTTATAGATTGCCTGGACCTCAGTTAATGAACTCTTTTTAAAAATAAATTTTAATGCATTTAAGGTTCATAACATATGAGATGCATAAAAAGAGTAAAATCTTACTGTAGTGAAGCAAATTAACATATGCATTAGCATATAGTTACCCTTTTTTTGTTTTTGTTTGCAAGAGCAGCTAAGATGTATTCATTTAGCATGAGTCCCAGATTCAGTATAATTTTATTACCTATAGTCCTCATGTTGTTCCTTAGATCTCTAGACTTGTTTATCCTGTGAAATCACCACCTCTTGAAGCCTCTGTACTTTCATGTTTTTGCAATATTCTTCATAATAGCTAAGGTATGAAAACAACGCAAGTACCTGATGAAGGACAAATAGATAAAGAAATAGTGATATATATTTACAATAGAATGTTATTCATCCCTGAAAAGAAGATCTTGTCATTTTATACAATATGTACAAGCCTGAAGGACACTATTTTAAGTGAAATAAACCAGACACAGGAAGACAAATAGTGAATAATCTCACTTACATGTGG